GCCACGGTTGTCCTGTTTGACTTCTGTTAGCACGCAGCTACGGAAATTTTGTTGCAGAGCTGGCCACTGAAAATTGCGTAGAGTTGGGTTAGGGCTGGAGAAGTGTGGAAACAGTGATACCACGTGTTTTCATATGATATTGTGGTGTCCTTTTCTCAGAAGTATGCCTTTGCCACTGACCCCGAGTAGGTAGATTGTGTTGGGGACTCCAGAAGACAGCTTCTATCTCTGGAAATGGTTTATAGAAGTCTGAACATAACCGACACTTAAGGAAAACAATCGGCAGTATTAAGATACTCTGTTTTATGGAAGTAGATCATTGTTTTAGTTCCTCCGGGAGGGGAAAAGAATTATTGCCTGGGTCCTTTAAGGCAGTTTGAGAGCCACATAAATGTTTTCACAGTGACTTAAAACTGAATTAAAGCCAGAGCAAGAATGTTTTTGTACAGTAACGGATACTTAATGCCAGAAAGTTGATTAATATTACATCTCTTCCCAAACATGATCTATGTAACAGCATGAGGTTTGCATTGGAATAGCTGGCTCTGGTTCACAACATTGGCAAGGCTCCCTTTTCTCCTTCTCAAAACAAAACTTCTCCCTTTCACTCTTATCTTCCCTCTTTGTTTTGGATAGTTTTGTGAATGTGCAATCACTTGCTTTACGCAGCCAAGCTCTGCAACACGCGGCATATGTGTACATGTATGCTCCATGGCTTTATCTTCCAGACACTGGTATAAAGCAAAAGGGTTCACACATCAGTACTCTGCTGTCTCTGTAACAGGGTCCCCTGTTACTCAAGTATACAGCGTATCTGGTGCAGAAATAAACTCCAGGAGGGCTTGGGAGAGAAAGCTTTGCCCATAGAGTCAGCTGTTAGCTGAACCCAGTCCAGTAATTCTGCTGCTTACACAGTGAAAGCCTGATTATTGTATGTATTATAAATTGACTTCTGAATGGCTGGCTGGATGTCTCCTATAAAATATTTGCGTGCAAATTCATTTGTAGGAATACTTCAGAAAATTGCTGAAAACACAATAAATGTTTATAGCTCACTACAGTGTCAATTCCTGTAGCAAATGCTTAATTAATCTGAAGTAATTAAGCACATCTATTGCTTTACTTAATCAAAAATTTTTTTAGCCACTATTATAGCTCCACCTAGTACAGTCACAACTTGCACAGTTTGAACATTTTGTGTAGGGATTCTTTATCACAGTTTCAAATGAGATACCCCATAGTCCCTGTACGGGATCCTGTGTGCCCGGGGTCCAGCTCCCCCGATGCAGAGTGCGCTGTGATGCATCCATGGGGATCAGGCTTGCCATAAGGTTTTGCTCTGCTGCCATAAATTATACCAGTGGTTTAAAGCAAGCCCAGTGCTTGCGAGTTTTGAATGTAGTGGTTCAGTTTCTTTGCATTTGATCATCACTGCTAACCAAAAGACCCACAAATATTTCACTCTGGGACTCTTATTGTTTCAACTTAATAATAATAATTGCTTTGGAGGACACGGCACGTTGAGAATGAGCATTCAGATAGATATGGATAAAAGGATATCAATTTATTCTATTTGAGGTGTCTGAACACTAATAATTTACTTGCACTTTTAATTATTTGTTGGTAGTGCTCTCACCTTTAACTAAAAGCTGTTTTGGAAATACAGAGCTGGTTAAGGTAGCATAAACCAGTAATAATTCAAGATTACAAAATATTTCTGCTTTAATAATTTGAATTTCACCACTTATGTGGGTTGGGCTTTTTTTCTGTCTTTCTGTTTTTTAATGAAATTACTGCTTCAAGAATGAAACCCTTATTGAATACTCTTTCATGAGGAAAAAAATAACAAGGAGTATAACATTGGATATTGTGCATGTCAGAGTTGTCTCTAGGATGTGAGATTGTAGCTGGGATGTGTCTACATCTGGGCTTAGTAAAGCATAAGGTACACCTTTTCTGCTTTTCTGACTGCCTCAGAAATGTTGAAGCCGGCAGACATGAAGGAGAACGCAATTTGCTGCAGAAGAAGACACAAAAGAATTAGTAATCGTTTTATTGTTAAATCAGATTGGGTCTCAGTAATATTTAATGCAGAATTTGGGGGTTTTGGGGGGTTCATTGTTTTCTTTCTTTTGAGGACTGCGCGTTTCTGTCTTATTATCAATTATTGTTCAACAATGAGACTTCGTGGGGGGGCTTTTTGGTCTTTCCCAGAGATTTCATCTTTGCACTGACCTGTCTTACTAGCTATTTGGGCAAGAGTTTAATCCTGTATTGTACTCTATAAGTCTAAATAACTTACTTCTGCATTTTTACTCAGATGGGAGCAAAATCATAGCCCAGGAGGCCCTCCCCTCCTCCTCCCCAATCTTTGGCTTGTGATAGTGTTTTGTAATTAATCAAGTTAATATTTTGATACTTGTTCACGTAATATGTTTGTGAATTTTGCAGAACTTACTATTGCAGAAAGGTTTTTATACTTGTCTAGCTGGATATAACAATATTCTAGGTGTTGGAAGAAACACACTGATTTTTATGGAAACTGATACCATCTACTGTTTAACTAGAGACAGCTTGACTAGGACTATTTTGCATCTACGTCTCTCCCTTTTTATTGTGTTTTCAGGCTTTAAGCTTTTTAAGCTTCTCCTGTGAGACTGAATATTTTTTCTCTCCCATTTCTCTCTTCCCCCTTTCAAGAATCATACAAATTAAGACAAAAGATAATTACTCAGAGGGTAAAACTGGCAGTGTTCCCACGACACTTAAAATTAATGAGCTGTTGCATATAAAATATACCTTGTCTCATGTTCACTGGGGTTTTTTTTGGTGAACCATAAAAGTGCACAATTTGGCTTTTTGGCTGTGTTTTCTGTTTTAGTAATTTTCGCTTTATAAAGTGACAACTGAATACAGAAAACTAATCTTTAGGCTTACTGTGTCCGTATGAGCAGATCAGTATATACAGTTTGTTCCCTCCGAAGGAAAATATCACTCGCAGTGATGAAATACATATTAACGAAGCTGCCATCGGTTGTTTGTGCTATGTCTTATTAAAAATAAATAGTCATGCTTCGTGCATCTGTAGTGCCTTCCATCTGATGTGAGAACGCCTTACAAAGGAGGATAAATGTATTGTCGTGAACTCCCAGAGAGGGGCTCGCAATTATTATCAGTTCCATCACTGGAAATGAGACACAGAGGTTACACGACTTTCACGGAAATCACTGAGAAATCCTTGGCTAGCTGGGGCAACGCCAGTTGCTCCTGAGGTCAGGAGTGACAGAGCCGTGGGGGAATTTTCAGTGACTTGGCTGCCGATGGCTTTTCTCTCTTTCTTACCGATTTATGCAAGAGGGAAGGAAGAGAGGAGGAAGAGCAATTGCAATTTTTTATTTTTTACATAATCTGCTTCAACACTTATGACCAACTGAATGTGATAAGTGACCTGCATGACAAATTTGTCAATAGCTTGCTGGAGTTTCGGCTTTTGGAGGTGCAGTGGCAAGGTAGATAGCTTGGGAAGGTTTTGAGGTAGGTGTCTACTCAAAAGCAGCTTAGAGGCCCCTCTTCTGTCCAGCAGGATTATTGGTTGTTTATTATTACTGCTGCTACTACTGTAATATTACAGGACATCTGTAGAGACAGCTAAGCTTCCTAATTTAGATAAAACAGTATGTATTGTAGGTATATCATATTTAGTGACAAAAGAAGGCTTTAATTTCACAAGAAAACAATAATTTAATTAATGTAGTTAATATTCCCAAACAGATGGTGTGTGTTGTGTGTAATAAATATGATTTTTAGATACTTGTGCTATTAAGTATTTATGAATTCCCTAATTTACATCTGTTCCTAAAACATGGCAAAAAAGGCAGCGGTAAAAACCAAGAGTAGATGAGTAGAGAAGGCAGGATGGCACTTGCTATTGTGGGTGTTGGATCACAAGCCTCACAGACTTCTGTCAAGTGCCTCACTGAAGAGGGGGCAGCACTGACATAAATTCACCACATTTTTGATTAACAAACAGACAGAGAAATGTGACCTTTTTTTTCTTTAAAAAAAAAAAACCAAAACAAAAAAACTCAGCTTTTCGTGTGCCTTGACAACAAAAGAGCAGTGACTATTCTTAAATAAATTCAGCAGAGGGACAGGAACAAAACTTGCTGAGATAGACTCGTATACGTTTGCATAATATTTGTTGTACCAAAAATATGATTTCTGTTCTGTGCTTTCTTATCCCTTCCTTTCAGCA